AAATTTCTCAGGGGATCTGTGTCTAGACCTCACTTGCTCTCCCTCTGTGTCTGTAATGGATTGACAACTAGTGGCCAATTTATAACCCCCAGCTGAACTGAGTAAGTGTGGTTCTGGGTCTGGGAGGCCCACCTGGGGACTGTTACCAGCGGCATATAGGCATAACTGGAGAAGAAATTTAGGCTGTTGGTAGCTGGTAGAAGCTATTGGGTGCTGTTAGAAGCCGTAAGGAACTGTTGATTCTATTGGAGGAGTTTGTCATGCTGGCTTTCCTGATGAACTCGTCTGTTCTCATCAAGCTTGGGACCTTGTTGTAGTTAAGCATGACTTCGGTTCACTTTGGGGGAGCTCTGGTCCTCACCTTAAGCATCGCTTCCTGGCTCGGGTGGGGAGGATGGTACACTGCCAATCTCCTGGAGAAGCTTGCTGCATTGGCTTTCCTAACGGGAACTCAGCTGTTTTCATGACTGGAGGAGCTTGGGACCTCAATGTTACTGAGGAAGGCTGTGGTACTTTTCAGGGGAGCTCTGGTTCTTACTTTGCGTGTTGCTTCCTGGCTCTAGTGTAGATCCCTCAGCCTGCTATCACAGATCCTTCATCCTGCTGGCACAGGCTTCCTAGATTCCACCACTGACCTTTGGGCTTTTGAAGTACAGATCTGTGAAACAAGTCTGCATGAGATATTGCTAAGGGCTCTGGGCCTCCAGCTGGACTCACAGGAGGTATTGTTATGAGCTCTAGGTCTTCAGCTGGACTCATGCAGGACAATTCTGTAGGACCCAGGCCCTCGGCTAGATTCCTTGGTCTTAGTGTATGGACAGATTTCCTGCACCATCTTGTATATCATTCTTTGGATGACTATTATAAATAATCTTGGCCAGGGATTTAGCTCAGCGGCACAGCGCCTGGCTGGCAAGTGCAAGGTCGTGAGTTTGATTCCCGGTACTGGAAAAAAAAACCAAAATAAATAAATAAATAATCTTATAAAATAGGTGTCCTGTATTATATTGTTCACATTGCAATAAACCAGCACAGTGTCCCACAGCTGTCTCTCACCCAGTCTCGTAGGGTAGCACTTCAGTCCTGAAGTGAAGCTGTAGTATAGACTCTCTGTGGCTCAGTCCCACACCATCAACCCCTTCCTAAAACGGTGCCTGATTAAACTCTTTCTGGCAGTATGGTGAGTACTGCCCTGGATTTTTTCCCCAACTCCAAACTGCCATGAAGTCACTCTAGCATGAAACCTCACACTGGTTTGTGTTTGTTTTTTAGTTTACACCACTGTGGGCATTTCTTGGGGAAAGTGGGGCTGTGAATGAGTCTTGAAATTTTGACCTTTACATTTTCTGGGTGTAGGTGGTTGTTGAAAGCATGTATTTGATTTGGGCATCTATGTTCCAGCTATCTTTCAGTCATTCTGGTGGAGGCTAAATCTCAGATGGTCTGACTTAAATAGGCATAGGAATTTCCCAGAATGCAAACAAGTAATTCTGATGATGCAGGAGGCCTGGGATGGGGCTGGACTTCAAGCTGTGATACCAACCAAGTAGCTAGGGGAGCAGGTCCTCAAATATTGGTAAGCTCTGGGTATCAAAGGAAACTTCCCTTGATGAATTTGAGTGTGGTCCAAAGGCAAAAGGCCATCTTCAGAAGAAAGGTGCATTTCCAACATCAAGACAGAGAAGGCTGCACAGGAGGCTGGGGGCAGAAAGCCTGCTATAAGAAAGTGGCCCCAAGGGTCCACTCTCTCTTCTTTGATGCCTCCCTTGTTGCTTGCTTGCTCCCAACAGACAGTTTTGCCTCCTTGCCAAGTGTGCAGGACTATGACCTGGCTCAACACCCCGGATAGAAGTAGAGTAAAATCGCTAATGTACATCTTGGTACTGGGGGGGGGGGAGAAGCAGGGGCACATAGCTAGGACCCTCCACTCATAGTTTCTTGAAGCTCTTTCAAGACCGGTTGGTAATGCAAGGACTTTGGCATTTAAAGGCTTTGGTCTGAGGCCAGGCAACATTCAAAACATGGTGGCACTGACCAAGAAGCTCCTGGAAAAACTGAGCTTTCTGATTCAGAAATGGTAATGCCTCCCCTACTCCACTTCTGTACCCTGTATACTTCTGATTCAGAAATGGTAATGCTTCCCCCTAAGCTTTTGCACCACTGTAGAGGCCCATGAGCAGGTAGGATGTAACACTCACCCTTTAGATGGAACCCTTGCTCTAAGCATTGGACCATGCTTCATTTAGAGCAGTTGAGTATGAGGAAGAGAGTTCTAATGTCTAGCAGGGATCCAGGGAATCCTCAATATCTCTTCGGATGAACGTCTGAGGGTAAATTCCCTTGGGTATGCATGACCTTCCTGTTCTGAAGCTCTAAATAAGATATATGAAAGGTAAAATTCACAGTTTGGGAATGTGTTCTCTGCTAAGTATCTCCATGTGTTACCTTGTGGTCCAACTACCTTGAGAGAGTTTACCCCATTTGCCAGGAACAGGAATGGAGGCTTAGAGAGGGACAGAAACATGGTCCACGGCTGAGCAGCAAAGCTGACATTATAAGCCCGTTAGATATTGGTCTCAGATCTTGAAGGATAAGTTGGGATTTGGCAAGTGAGAAAGAATGTGCAGCATATACAAATGTCCAGAATTGGGAGGCTTAAGCAGATAGAAATCAGAGGGCTTGAAGAGTTGAATAGAGATCTGAATTTTAGTGCAGAATTGCATATGCACATGCACGTGTGCTGTGCATCAAACCCAGAGCCTCTCTAATGCTAAGCAATGAGCTACACTATAAAAATTTGTAATGAGGACCTCCCTTTGTCAGCTGACATTTAAGATATTATATGAAGTCAGGAATAGTGGCACATGCCTATAATCCCAGCACTTCAGGAGACTCAGACAGATAGATCTCAAGTTCATGCCTAGCATGGGCAACTTAGTGATTTAATGAGATGGTCTCAAAATCAAAAGTTAAAAAAAGAAGCTTAGAGATGTAGCTCGGTGAAAGGCCCTGGGTTCAACTCCCAGTACCCAAAAAAAATTGACACAAAACTGCATCTTGAAATAATATAGTTTCGCTGTTTTCCAAGCTTTATAGTACCTTGAGTTTTTACTTAATATTATGTTTGTGAGATTTATCCGGATTATTGCACATAGGTTGTCCACTTTTTGTTGCTGTATAACAGTTCATTGTGTGAATATACTGTAATTTACCTGTCCACTGTACTGGTGACTGATATGTGAGCTGTTTCCAATGGTTGCTCATTAGAAACAATGCTTCCAAGAACCATTTTTGTCTATGTCCTGGTGTGTAAGGGCTGGTTTCTGTAGGCCAGTGGTCTTCAAACATTTTGTTCTGAAGACTCCTTTACATCCTTAATAATTGTTTGTGATTCCAAAGAATTTCTGTTTATGTAGACTGTATCTACTAATACTTACCATGATATAAAATAAAAAGGAAACAACTTAACTTGATAAATGAAAAGGTACAAATTCAGTTAAAATAACAATACTAATATAGATGACATGTTCTCATGAAAATTGTTTCCCAAAACAAAAAATTTAGTGAAAAAAATAACATTTTTTGCAAATGTCTAGTCAGGAACTTTTTCTACTCTGTTATATTAAAATCCATCAGTCTACCTTGCACTTTGAATGGATCTCTTATTTAATTTCTATTATTTCCAGTTTTTAAGTGTTTGCTGAAACAACCCATCTTTTAACTCTTCTGTGTTTTCCCAGTTATATCTTTGAGAATCTCTGTCTTATTTATGTATTATTATTTGCTTGTTTATTACAGTGCTGGAGAATCAAACCCAGAACCTTACTCATGCTAGGAAAGCAGCCAAGCACCCTACCACTGAGCCATATCTCCAGCCCTTTCACAGTTTATGATTCTCCCCATGAATTCTACTTTTTGCTTCTGCTTTTTGCTGTATGACTGACTGAGAGCCAAACACTGTATTATCAGGAGCTTTATAAGCATCTGAGGGTGCAATTTGGCAGAGCATCTGCCTATAAGCTGTCCACTGCTCAATAACCTCTTATAAACTCATTTATTCACCAAGCTGGGTTTGTCTGAGTCTGTTTTTGAGCTACTGACACTTTCCCAATTCAGAGGCAAACATTTCTTTTGTCTCCTCTGGAAATTCATGGAACACCCTCTTTTCCATCCCTGCTAGAACTCAATCTTTTGCCTGTCTCCACCATCTGTCTCCCTCCAGTTCCACTTTTGAATTTTAGAGTGAAGATTCTTGGCTCTATAAATGAATTCTTCTGTTTCTTTCTTTTTTTTTTTTTTTTTTTTTGGTACCGGGAATCAAACTCATAACCTCATGCTTGCCAGGCAGGCCACTGTGCTGCTGAGCTACATCCCCGGCCCAAATTCTCCTGTTTCTTGAAGCCGTATCTTTCTCTTGTCTGGCTCCTTGAAGGTGAGGAATGGTGAACACCAGATAACCTACACTGTGTCTAGCACAGAGTCGGACTCAGGTCTTAGTAAAGAAACCCCAAGTAAAAGCTACCAGACTTGCAACTCACGTGACTCAAGCTTCCTAGAGGTTCTTGTTTATCCTCCACTCACGTTTATCAAAAGTTGGAGACTTTGCCCAACATTAGGGGTGGGAACTGAGAAGCACAAGTGTAGCTTCAGTTACCCAGCAGCTCTGCAGTTAAACAGAATGATGACTGGAGGAAGGCAGCTCTGCATCCCATTCTGGCAATGCCTTTCATTAACTGGGTGAGTAAGTTTTCTGAACTGAACACTTGCTTCTCTGTAGTTGTGAGGATTAAGTTAGGTAACAGCTAGGGCAGAATATCCACAGCACTGTCTCATGTACTTGTTAAGTATTCCATAAACATTGATCTGGACTTCACTAAGAAAGGAAGTTGCATGGAGTGGTAGACCCTACCACACTTATATGCCATAGGCAGCCAGAGCTCTCCCCAACACAGCACTTCCCAGCACTGATCCAGCCTCCTTCAACATAGAGCTCAGTACTATTCCAACCATCAGCATGTTTAATGGGGACCCCCAGAGATTCGTAAGCCATGGGCACGGACTCGATACAAGCACGTGAACCGTGGGTGGCCCCAGTTGCTTAGGATCTGGATCTTCACCTTGGGAAAGGCAGACGGAGGGTCATTCTGGGGAGACAAATGGGTCATGCCTTGGCACTGCTCGCAAGCACTGCCCTTTCCCTTGTCTCCCACTGCCTTAGTATCTTCACCCCCAGAGACAAACACCTGCAGGTGGAAAGTCTGAATTGCAGATTTCTTCACATCAAAGGTGAACCTCCCCAAGAAAACTTCAGTCTCATCATCAACCTGGAGACCCTGGTGGGTGAAGAGTGAACGGAGGAGCAAGTGAGGCACATGCAGATGGGAGGGGAAGCAACTTTGTTGAGGCTCTTCTGTGTGTTCAGTAGCTCTATATGTGCTCTCATGTATGTTCTGATCACAGGACATATAGTGTGCAACATGGGCTCTAAGAAACCAGGTTTTTAGTCTGGCCAATTGTTAGTTGTGTGACTTTGAGCAAGGAAAGTCTGAGCATTACTTTTTTCATGTCTAAAGAGGGAGATTATCATACTTCATTAGTGTTATGTGGATGCAATGAAATAGTGCATTTAAAGTGCTTGGCACAAAGTAATAGCTAATATTTGGAGATGCCGTTATAACTTACAGTAGCAGCAGCCCTAACAGGGAAATCTTAGTATGTTCAGTATGCACACGAGCAAGCAAAGTCTCAAATACAGCACCAGTTCTCAAGACTGCCTGGTGTGTTCTAAGCAAAATCTCTAACTCCTGGCCTCAGCCCTACTCACAAAGACTGAAAAGTCTCTGGGAGCACTGCTGGCATCCCCGGTGTGTGCCACGCTGGGTGGGGGATGCTGCAGGGTGATGTCGCTCAGCTGCACACGACCCGCCAACTGGATCACCACCTGGCCCTGATCACCCTGAAAAGCCCAGCAATTTCCAGGAAACACGTCTGGCTGCGGAGAAGTGGAGGTGGGAGGAGACACCATTAGAACCCAAGGACAGTGACTACTGTCCCTCCTCACCCACGGCCCAGCCCAGAGCGCCATCTCCAGGCCTGTTCCCGGGCCTGATCCCGCCCAGGGCTCAGTTCCCCGCACTGCTAGCCAGTTCTCTTCAGTTCCCCAGCTTCACTCAGGGCTTCACTTGGGCAGGGCCAGACCCAGTCTCCCCAAGAGCCCCTCAACTCAGCCAGGTCCTGCCTCCACGGAGCTGGTCCTTTCTCCAGCACCCATCACTTGGTCCCATCCCAGGATCCTGGTTCCAGCCCCACCTCCAGGATGACCGTGGGTGGTCGAGCGTAGTTCCAGAAGCTCAATTGATTCCAGAAGTAGGATGTGTTTGTGTCCTCATAGTCCTGGGACGTCTTCTCTAGGTCAATGGTGGCTCCTGGAGCAGGGAGAGATAACCCTCAGAGGCTGCCAGGCGTTGCCGACAGCTGGGGAGAGATTTGCCAGCGTCTCGGTCTGCTTGGGTGTCTCTGGGTCTTACCCACAGAGCTCAGGGCGTAGTCTGGTTTCTGAACGAAGTCCTCATTCAGCCGCTGGAACACGAGCTTGGCCACTCTCTGAAGAGGCGGGGAGGGTGGACGGTGAGTGGGCGGAGCCACGGGACCAGGGTCCCCACCAACCCCTGAGCAGCCTCGAGCTGCAGCTCACCTCGCTGTGGGCCGCGCGAACCCGGGCAACCTCCGTGCGGAGTTTATTCAGCTCGGCCTGAAGCTGCTGCAGCTGCTGCCCGTGGGAGCGCACGCGTTCGTGGTACTCGCTGGAGCGGGGAGGCGGGCGCCCTACGGTAGTCTCCTTGTGTCCCCTCCCACAAGCCCCGCCCCCCTGGCGCCACCTTTGGGCCCCCGATCCCCACCCCTGATGCCCTGTTTCACCTGGGAGTCAGCATCGCCTTAGGTTCCTAGGGGTGGGAAGCAAATACAGCGACCCTCAGCTCCTCACCGCCCCCCTCTTTCCCATGTCAGCCTAAAGGCAGCCAGAGTGCTCCTTTTTGAGAACTTCCCCGCCTGAGAACTTCCCCGCCTCCCCCAACACTTGCCTGACCTTTAGGATCGCAGCCCCTCAGAAATCCGTGCCCAGCGCTTCCTTACCTTTAGTCTCTGGCTGTGCCCCCTCCCAGCAGCCCAGGGAGCGCCACAGCTTCCACCACCCCAGGATGGTGTGTCCCCGACTCACATTCTCCAAAGGAGGGAACAGGTGCAGGAGTCCCCAAGAGTGTGCTGGAGAAAGGGGGTGGGGGGTCAATGAAGGGAAGAGGCAGGGCAGGGCTTTCCTGGCTTGAAGGATCACTGAGAGCAGCGCGGTGGGGCGCGGGGGAAGCCCGCGTGGGCTGAGGGACACGGGGGAATCAAGCGTCCAGAGATGTGCCCCCGTATCCGCCCTTCACCTGCTAGAAAGATGCTCAGCAACGACACAGCGAACAGGAAGCGGACGCAGCAGACCTCCCTGGGGGGATGGAGAGGGGCTGAGGCCCCAGGACCCTGGTCCACGCAGCCCGGACCCCAGGCTGCGTCCATCCCGCCAACCCGACGCCCCCGTCGGAATCGACTCCAGCCCCACGGGCCCGGCCTCGCCTCCAACCACCCAAGCAGCGCCCGGGGCGCCCCCGCGCTCCCCCTGACCTGCACACACCGAGCAGCACGTCTCGGACCAGAGACAACAGCACCCTCGGCACCTGGAAGAGGAGGCCTGGGGGAGGACAGCCGGATTAGAGGGGGGAGCCCGAGAACCGCACTGGGGGCGCCCACGAGCCCAGTTCGCAGGGACTCGGTAAGGAGGCAGGGGCTGGACCCGACAGGAGTCTGCGGGTCTTGGGCTGGCCTGGTGCATACTCAGGAAGCTCTTGGTAGCTCGCGGTGCAGGCGTCTCCCGCCTCGGATCCAGGGTTGCAAGAAAGTTACGCTGCTCCTCAGAGACTGTGGGAGATGCAGCCGTTCTATTGGAGCCCATGGGCTCCACTAGGGCCGTGCGCACCGCAGACCCACTTTTCCCCGCGAGGCCCGGCCGCAGGTACCCCAACCGGGGCAGCCTCTGGGAGAAGCTTTGGTCCCTCGGTAAGCCCATCTTAGGGTTCCCCGGTTGCAGGGAGGCCGGGGGCGGAGCCTAGTCAGGATTTGGTCCCTCCTCCAAGTGCTGCTCCGCCCCCAGGTGGTGCGGCCCTCTTTCATGTAGCCAATCACGTCCAGGAAGGACTTCCCCGCCCCTTCCCAGAGTCGTCCGTCACACCAAGGCACCGCCCCCTAGGGGGGGATCTTATTAAGCTCCTCCCCCACAAGAAGCGCCCCACCAAATAATATCCAGTTCACTCAGGCCCCGCCCCGCAGGGCCGGCCCCGCCCCCTCCCTCGGAGCCCAGGGTTCGACCCCGCCCGCACCCGAGGCCCCGCCCCTCACGGTTGCCGCGCCTCTCGCGGTCTCCCGGTTGTGGCTCCGAGGCGCAGGCTCCTGCGGAGAGCTTCCAGCCCATGGGGTTCCTCCGGGCAGTCCTGGGCGCAAGGCGGGCTCACCGCAGCTCGCGCCCCGGGCCCTTCTGCTCTCGGGCTCCCCAGGCCCCGGCCCAGGAGACCGGCGCCCGCGGCAGTCCCCCGAAGGGACGCTGTCTGAGCTGTTGCTGTAGAAGTTGGGCATGTGCTCGTCCGAGGAAGCGACCGAGCTGGAGCGGGTGCTCCGCCGCATCCTGACCTACAGACGCCCCTCAAGGACGCCCCAGTCGCCACGCAGCCGTCCAGGCCCTCGGCCCTTGTCCTCCCCAGCCTCCGCGTGGCCAGACTCAGCCTTCTCTCCCTCTATGCGCCCGCGGCGGCCACCGTCACAAATGAGACCCGACATCACAGAGCTAGTCGTGACATCACTGGGAGCCGCGGGGGCCTAGGCAGTCTGGTTCTTTGTGACATTTTTCTTACCACCTCCCTCTCTCCCCTCTGACATACCACACCTCCTTCATTTTCCTCCTCCTCCACCCTTTTCTCACCCTCCAAATCCTAGACAAACCACAAAAGAAGTGTAATACAGTCTGTGAAGGGTACGACAAAAGGATGAAATTATGAAAATAAGTTTTAATGTTTATGATGGATGTATGGTTGGATTTTTTGATGCTCTTATAACCTGTAGAATTCTCTGCTTACAGCACAGTGATAGGATCCAACAAATTAAATTGAATAAATTGAAGTGGTAAACAATAGCGCAACAAAGCCTAGAGCTAACCACTGGAAAACAGAACCTTACTAAAGAAATATTCATATCAACAACAAATTATCTTCACTCTCTTTGACCTCAACCTTCAGTACAAACACACAACACACACACACACACACACACACACACACACACACACACACACATAGAGGAATATGAGAAAAAAACATAGCAAAACGCCTCCAAAAACTCCTAACTCTCACAAAGCAAATCCACGGGCACCAATGGAGAGGAAACTAAACACCAGATAGATTAGCTGCATGAAGTAATTAAAGAAGAAGAAAACTCAAAGGTGATATATCCCTTAATCTGGCATAGTGGTGCACGCCTGTAATCCAAGCACTCAGGAGGCTGAGGCAGAAGGATCGCTGCCAAGTTCGAGGCCAGCGTGGGCTACAAAGTGAGTTCGAGGCCAGACTGAACTGTATAGTGAGACCCTGTCACAAAAAAAAAAAAAAAGTTCTTAAAACTGAAAAAGAATTTTTAATTTAAAAAAATTTTTAATTAAAAAGATGATATAATCCAAAATATAGTGGAACTGTCAAATAAACTGACCAATATGGATATGGGAGAAACAAATAAAATTTGGGCAAACTGACCAAAATGACTCAAAAAGTAAATGACAAATTTACCAAAGAAATACACTCCACAATAAGGTGCTAAACAGAAATCCCAGAGATAAAGAATTCTATTGAATTCATAAACAGCAGAAATAACCAATGTGAACATAGGGTTTCAGACACTGAGGACAAAATGGAATTACATGATCACATTTTGAGAGAAATCTTAAAGACAATAACAGAGCAAAAAAATTCATCCAACAGCTACTGGATGATACTAAGAAGACAAACCTACAACTAATTGGAGTTAGAGAGAAATTAGAAGACAGAAAACATGAAATAAAAGACCAGGGGGCTGGGGATTTAGCTCAGCGGCAAAAGCGCCTGCCTGGCAAGCGCAAGGTCGTGAGTTCGGTTCCCAGTACCGGAGAAAAACCAAAAAAAAATTTAAAAAATAAAATAAAAAAATAAGAAATAAAAGACCAGATCATAGAAAACTTTCCAAAGGATGAGGAAAGAACTCAACATACAGGTTAATGATAACATTTTAAACCTGTCCTTACTTAGGATAAAGAAAACTCAAATTTATCCCTAACTATATACTAAAAACAAGGAGAAAGAAACTGTTTTGTGACGTATATCTCAATATGTAAATACAAGAGAGACAAAATGAAATATATCTTGTAGCTAAACATAAAAGGAGTGTAGCCACTATAAATGTGGGCCCAAAAGGGTGCATATAAGAGAAACAAATCTACCCATAGTGTTGCTATGCACATCCTGGTTTTCTAAAATTTTGAAAACCTTGGGTAAAATTTTAACCAGAACATAGTATAATCACCACATGGTTGACATAATCGATTCACTCTAGGAAAGTTCAGTTGTCAAAAAATACTTGCAAGACTTCTGGAAAGACAGCAGAGAGGTAAAACAGCAGCAAATCAGCCATCCGGAGATTTACACACTGGAATGTAAAAACTTGGTGAAGAAAAGGAGGGAGATGAAGCCCCAGAATCCAGGAAAGATGTGAAGGGGAGAATTGGAGCCTACAGGAGAAATGTAGAGACAAACCTCAGTGCAGAAAAAGGAGGTGGCAACCTGCACTTTCTCCCTGACTCTCGGCTCCTGGAGTAAGAGAGGAGGCTCTCATCTACGGAGACACAGTGAGGGTGGATGACTCCACAGACCTCTGGGGAAAAACACATCCCATTGGTGGAACACAGCAGTAGATGCTATGAGCTACAACAGCTGGTGAGTGACTCCAGTCCAAGCATCTCCTGGAGAGGGTGCTTGGCCAGAAACCATTTTTGGCGGAACGAACTGACTGGAAGCAGCCCTGGGTTGGCTTCATCGCTGGCTCCCTGTGAATTCTTCGGGAGACATCCAGAGTCAGGAGTCGAGTTCAGGCCGGCAAGAGACCCCTAGAGCATTGTAGGCTGAACAACTCAGGCCCCCAACTCCACAACCAGAGGCCAAGATCAGCCTGAACTCCTGTGGAGTTGAAAACACCAGAATCAGCACCGCACCCTACTCCTACTGCAGACTTGCGGGGATCATCGGGCCCCAAGATGCACTCTGTTGTCCACCGGTAACAGCAGAGACACGCCCTGAACTGAACACTACCACAAACTCTAAGTCCCAGAAGATAACCGCAGGCTTGAAATCACAGAGAAATCTCTTTTTTTTTCTTTGCCTTTGTTTTCTTCTTTTTTCATGATTGTTTTTGGTTTTTCATGAGTCTGAACCTTGATTTTAGGATTTTTTTTGTTTAGTTCTTGTTTTAATTTTTTCCTTCTTTCTTTCCCTCCTGTTTTCTTCACTAGTGTCTAGAAGCTTGGGTAATCTTCCCTTGTCCTTCAGCTTCTAATCTCTTTCTCTTCCTTTATTTCTCTATTTTTTCCTCTTATCCTTTTCAAATTTTCTCCCTTGAGGATAAAATCACTCTATTGAGGGGATATTTACTATATATAATTTTCTGATTTGTTTTAGATTTTTTTATACAACTGTAAATCTGGTACCAATGTTAAAGGTGGCAAATTATTAGTTATTACATTTTATCATTTTCCAGTCTGTGTCTGATGCTATTGTTATTATTGATTGTACTACTTTAGCCAAGGTGACATAGTTGTTGTAATCATTGTTCTTCCTTATATGCCAATAGTGAGATTGTCTGGGCGTCATAAGCAATACCATAGTCCAGCGCCAAAGAGCTGGGTGCTAGGCCAAATAGAAAAAAACTCTTATCCCTAATAAATTAAAGAGGCAAGATTTTGGGACAAACTCAAAAGCCAAAAGCCAGGTACAACTAGAAGACATTCCTGAGAAGTAGTCATTTCTAAGGTCTTGATACTAGTAATAAAGCTACCTACCATAAGCAATTTATGAGCGTCAATGCAGAAAATGAATTTAAAAATAGAAAATGATAAGACAGGAAAGCAGGATGCAAATGCAGACATCCAGCTTTCCCAAGGCCAATCCAGGGGACATTGAGGTGGAAGAAATCAAAAGCCCCCAGCTGAACTTTCAGAAATGGTAGCAGCAAAAGTCACAGCACAGATAAATGAATCTCTAGAAAAAAAAACAAATCAAAAATAATTTCACAGATAACAAAAGGGATGATGACCATAATTAAGGACATGGTTAGTGAATCTAGAGTAGATGCACATAAAATAAAATAGAGGAGCTTAGGAAAGTGATGGGCACTATAAATGCCCAACATAGGAAAGAACTGAATTCCATGAAACAGATTCAAACAGATATCCAAGAGATTAAAAAGATTACTAAAAGTATACATCAACTAATGTCAAGACAAAATGTCAGATCTAGGGAACAAGTTTGCAGTTAGTGATCCATCAAATGAAAGACTTCTTTAAAATAGCAAGTGGCCACAAAAAATCAGTCCAAAAGCTGCTAGGTGATACAAAGAAGAACAATTTAAGATTGATTGAAACAAATGAAAAATCAGAAGATAACACAAAAGACATAAAAAACTTGTTCACAAAAATAATGGCAGAAGAGGCTGGGGATTTAGCTCAGTAGCACAGCGCCTGCCTGGCAAGTGCAAGGTCATGAGTTCAATTCCCAGTACTGGAAAACAAAACAAAACAAAACAAAATAATAATAATAATAATAATAATAATGGCAGAAAACTTTCCAAACATGGGAAAGAATTTGACATGCAGATAAATGATACAGCACTCCAATTAGCCAGGATCACAAAAAAATACACCAAGGCATGTAACAGTCAAAATTCCAGAAATTCAACACAAGAACAGAATATTAAACGCTGTTAGAGAAAAGACACAAATCACCTAAAAAGGAAAGCCCATAAGAATCACAGCAGACTTCTCAACACAAACACTTAAGTCAAGAAGAGCTTAAAGCATTTCAAATCCTAAAGAAAACCAACCTCCAACCCAGATTGATGTACCCTGCAAAATTATCTTTCAAAATTGATGGAGAAATAGGATACTTCCATGACAAAGAATAACTGAAGAAATCCATGACTACACCAACACTCCAAAAAATTCTGAGGGATATTCTAGAAAAAGATCACAAAGATGATTACATAAACCCCAATAAAATGAATCCACCAGGGAAAGGAAAGTAATCAAACAGAGGAGAAAGTAGTATGACAAGGATAAGTCAAAATATATGAGTTATAACCATCAATGTAAATGGTCTCAATTCACCAATCAAAAGAAACAAACTGGCACAATGGATCAAGAAACGAGATCCAACAATATAATGCATACAAGAAACATATCTAACTCAAAAAGAGATTCATAGACTGAAAGTCAAAGGATAGAAAATAATACTCCATGTGACAGAACCCCAGAAAAAAAGCTGGGGTAGCTACTCTATTTGCAGTAAGTAGATTTCAAGCCAAGACTGATCAGAGGAGACAAAGAAGGTCACTACACATTTGTCAAGGGAACATTTCAAAAGGAAGAGAGAGCAATCATAAATATATCTGTACTAAATATGAGGGCACCCAACTGTATAAAACAAACATTAATGGGTATGAAAAATCAAATAAGCACTAATACAAATATAATAAGGGAAATCATTGCACCATGTTCACAAATAGACAAATAAGCTAGACAAAAAAATCAACAAAGAAATATCAGAACTGAACCAAATTTTTGAACAAATGAACTTGGTAGATGTCTACAGAGTTTTCCACCCTACAACATGAG